TCTGTGCAGCTGCTGATAGTGAAGCAGAAGGACCGATCGGAGATGTTGTTCCGTCAGCACCTGGTGGAGGACAAGGGTCTTCACGGAGGAGCGTCTTACATGGACTTCCTGTGCTACGTCCACCGCGAGATCAGGCACTTAACAACTTAACACACAAACACACTCACACTCACACTCACTCACACACACACACACACACACACACACACACACACTCACACTCACACTCACACTCACACTCACACTCACACTCACACTCACACACACACACACTCACACACACAGAAAGAGTTAAGTGTGTTACAGCGCACAGCCCTCTTCCTCTATAGCTGCCTATGATATACGACCAAACTCTCTTTCTGCAGTTGAGTGTGAACTTTCTGCTTTATTCCTCAGTGTTTGACATGAGGGAAATGGGTGTTTAGATTGAACTCCTTCAAATGCGCCACGTCTCGCTGTTCTGAGGAGCCATTATATTGAGAGATCGTCTCAGTGATTTTCTTAAGTCACTCCCCCAGATTACATTTACCAAAGGGAAACATTTCTTTGAATCCTTAATGCAGCAAATGAATAAAATGTTCTCATAATGTCTGGATTGAGTGGCAAACAGTGTTTTCAGATGAAAAATCTGTGCAGTGTCTATTAAATTAATAGACTGATTTGTGACTGGATATATGCAGTACAAAACACGCTCTTTTTCTTTATTTTATGACTTCAGGGATGAAAACATCACATAAAACTGAACTATAGTCATGCAAAATAATTGTCTTGCAATGGAATCGCTGTGTCTGCTATCCCATTTTTTCCCCAAGTAATATCTTTGTCTTAATTTTTTTACTCAACTTTATTTTGCACATCAGTACTTCAAAATGTTTAGAGGGACACCACTGCTTTTTAACATCATGCCCATAATATTCATAAAATGAACTAGACTTTCCTGTAGTTAAGAGTTTAACTATTAGACCTTCAAAGAAAACATATCTTTTTTTTTTTTCTTTTTTTTTAATAACTGAACGTTTATTAAAGGTGGAACGTCCCTTTTATTTTGTTGCAGTTAATGCCAGTCATTATTTGTTATTCTTAACTTCATACAGTTTTGCTCTTTGAAACATTTCCAATTTGATATGTTTTATAACATGAGCAATTATTATAATACATTTGTCTTATTTTTTCTGACTTTTAATGGTACATCTCTGGACCAATACTGTATATTTTCTTACAGTTTGAGATGGATTTTAAGGACTCATAAGCAACTGTACCTCAGGTCACATGCATCTAGCCTTTCTACCTGTTCATTAGTGCTTTGGAACCGACACGCATGTGGTTCTTCGTATTGAACACATCAAGGATTCATTTCTGGAAGCTGAAGCCAGCCTGTCATGTACATTTCAATATAAAACCTTTATACAGCTGTTTTTAAATAAAGGTGTAGTCCCTGTTAACCTTGTAAGTGTATTTGTTTTGTGTGTATTTTTCTGAACTGAAATTAATGGCCACATACACACTGCAGCTGAACTCAGTTATCAGTTCACCTTTTAGTGCTTAATCCTGTTCTGTACCCACACAGTTCACTAATTTATGGGAGTGACAACCGCATTCTACGACTGAATTAACTACCGAAAAAATTAGGTAGTCACAATCACATTTCCATCATGTACTGAACTGAACAACTAGTTTTAGTGATGTAATTAAACTCATATCAGTATGGAAGGCCGATAGGGCCAAAAGTCTTTAAGTGGACCATGTGAAATTTAACTGTCAACACGCACTGTTCATCTTTTGTATGTGTAGACAAGCACACTCTGGCCTTGTTAAGGTGTCAGTTCTCGCTCTGTTTCTTTAGTATGTGTAACGACACACTGTTTTAACACATTAGGATGACAAATTTGATTGTGTGTCTCAACATGCACATTCTAGCCACGTTTGAATGTTTAATACTTTTTTAAAGCAGATTTACCTCTAGATTTACCCACATTAATCCTTTCTTTAGTTTACTGTGACATTGCTTTACTGAGGTGTACTTTTTTTTACTCAACTTTATTTTGCACATCAGTACTTCAAAATGTTTAGAGGGACACCACTGCTTTTTAACATCATGCCCATAATATTCATAAAATGAACTAGACTTTCCTGTAGTTAAGAGTTTAACTATTAGACCTTCAAAGAAAACATATTTTTTTTTTTTTTCTTTTTTTTTAATAACTGAACGTTTATTAAAGGTGGAACGTCCCTTTTATTTTGTTATTTTGTCATTATTTGTTATTCTTAACTTCATACAGTTTTGCTCTTTGAAACATTTCCAATTTGATATGTTTTATAACATGAGCAATTATTCTAATACATTTGTCTTATTTTTTCTGACTTTTAATGGTACATCTCTGGACCAATACTGTATATTTTCTTACAGTTTGAGATGGATTTTAAGGACTCATAAGCAACTGTACCTCAGGTCACATGCATCTAGCCTTTCTACCTGTTCATTAGTGCTTTGGAACCGACACGCATGTGGTTCTTCGTATTGAACACATCAAGGATTCATTTCTGGAAGCTGAAGCCAGCCTGTCATGTACATTTCAATATAAAACCTTTATACAGCTGTTTTTAAATAAAGGTGTAGTCCCTGTTAACCTTGTAAGTGTATTTGTTTTGTGTGTATTTTTCTGAACTGAAATGAATGGCCACATACACACTGCAGCTGAACTCAGTTATCAGTTCACCTTTTAGTGCTTAATCCTGTTCTGTACCCACACAGTTCACTAATTTATGGGAGTGACAACCGCATTCTACGACTGAATTAACTACCGAAAAAATTAGGTAGTCACAATCACATTTCCATCATGTACTGAACTGAACAACTAGTTTTAGTGATGTAATTAAACTCATATCAGTATGGAAGGCCGATAGGGCCAAAAGTCTTTAAGTGGACCATGTGAAATTTAACTGTCAACACGCACTGTTCATCTTTTGTATGTGTAGACAAGCACACTCTGGCCTTGTTAAGGTGTCAGTTCTCGCTCTGTTTCTTTAGTATGTGTAACGACACACTGTTTTAACACATTAGGATGACAAATTTGATTGTGTGTCTCAACATGCACATTCTAGCCACAGCGCCTCCTGCTGGCAGAGAATGAGTTTGCATATATATGCCGCCACAAATAGAGTGCAAGTCTGTGGGAAACATTGGACTATGGTATAAATCAATTCAACTGTGTAACAGTTTCACTGCAATTCATGTAATAATGTTAGAATTAAAGAACAATAAACATAATACATATGCACTTATCTGTACATAGTAAATGCAGTTATTTTTAAGCATTGTTGACATCCTATCTAAAACGTGATTTAGCCAAAAAACAACAACAACGATAACGTTACCACTCTCATATGTCTTGCAATATCCGTGCATGCAAAGGTTCTGCGCGATCCTCTTATTCAATATTCAATAGTCTGAATCCGGCTCAAATTGATATGGCAATATTGACGCCATCCTTAACTATACCGGAGCAGATGGAACTTGCTGCTTTGGCAAGGGGCGGGGCAGTACTGAAACACCATCCAAGCTGTTCGCTAATCACAACACACTGGGACAGCTAACCAATCACAACACACTGGGACAGCTAACCAATCACAACACATTTTGTTTTTTGGAAAGCGGACCTTCATCAAACCCGGAACTAATCAAGCCGTTTGTGCCAAGCTGTGGAGAAAGGTATTGTAATAATGTAAATTATGTGAAAAATAATGCGTTTTTGAACCACCAAGTATAAGAGCATGTTCTAGTACACCCCCAAAACAAAATCAAGGCTTGCTTACTTGAGGTATGTTGGTTCGAAAAATGCTTCCAGGAGTAAGTTCATTCAACCCAGGGTAAGTTCCTGGTTAACACGCAAGACATTCTCAACAGAGCGATGAATCGACAAGTCATTATGGAAAAGAACGCTTAGAAAAAGCACGCCATACTACTTTCTTCTTCTGTTTAAAGGCTGTTTACATGCTTGGTTCATATCGCCACCTAACTGGTGGTTGTGCAGTCATTTTTCTTTTTTTCCGTTTAATCTTTAATCCTTGAGAATAAGAATTATATTGTCTGTTTGATGCTAATAATATAGTAAGTCATATTAGATTTTTTATAGAAATACATTTTTATTATAAAAATAAATTATAGAAAATGCTGATCCATGATGTGTGAGATGATAATATAAAATGTAATAAATATATAATATAATATATTAAACATTACCTTGTCATTATAGTGTTAGTGTTTTAAAATGTATACAGATAACTATTATATATGCCTATAAAATAAATATAATAACCATATTAGAATAATATATTACTGTATTTATGACTTATATTAGTGCTTTGTAATTAACATATCATACATATATATATATATTAATTACGTAACTATATTGTAGTAATACATGTGACCCTGGACCACAAAACCAGTCTTAAGTCGCTGGGGTTTATTTGTAGCAATAGCCAAAAATACATTGTATGGGTCAAAATTATAGATTTTTCTTTTATGCCAAAATTAATTAGGATACTAAGTAAAGATCATGTTTCATGAAGATATTTTGTAAATTGCCTACTGTGAATATATTAAAACTTAATTTTTGATTAGTAATACGTATTGCTAAGAACAAAAATATTTGAAAGATTTTTTTTCAATATTTTGATTTTTTTGCACCCTCAGATTCTAGATTTGCAAATAGTTGTATCTCTACCAAATACTATCCTATCCTAACAAACCATACATCAATGGAAAGTTTATTTATTCAGCTTCCAGATGATGTATAAATCTCAATTTCGAAAAATTTACCCTTATGATTGGTTTTGTGGTCCAGGGTCACATATAATATTGTGCGCAATCCGTCACGCCCACTGGTGTCTTGTCAGTTGGTCACGCATGCGCTGATAACTCTGAAGTTGCTATGGCTACTTACAAACCCTGAAAGTAACCTCCATTTTTGGAACCGAAAGCTGAGTTTATCCGCTTACTTACCCTTAAACACACCCAGGTGTGACACATAACCTGCTTTCTGGAATACCCCCCTGATCTTTGCATGCATGCATACCAGTGTACCACTACAACATCTTTCATGCATAAACATGACACTGGCATTTGTATACATATAAACCAATGTACCATAGTGCCACATATTCACATATAGTCTCAAATACAACAGTTTCATTAGCTGCTGTGCAGTGTTAATTTTGACAGGCATTTTTGATTAAGTCTTAGTCTTTATCTTGAGACGAAAATGGTTAATAGTCTTAGTCACATTTTAGTCATTTGAGTCTTTCATAGTTTTAGTCGATGAAAAGTCATTGCATTTTTGTCAACTTTTAGTCATTACTTTTAATCAAACTGCAGTTACCAACATTTATTTGGTAGCTATTTTATGTGTAGTCTTCAAACAAAAATATTAGACCAAATCAATTAAGCTTATGAGAAATTTGAATCAAGGATTGAATTTGGAAAAACGTGAATGAATGATGACGATTTTCATTTTTGGGTGAACTGTCCCTTTTACAGTAGTGAAAAGGGAGCAACTTATTTTT